TTCTTCTCCTTCCAGGATTAGTAGTGTCTAAGCTGCTTTATGGGCTTTGGAATTTATCAGTTGAACAGTTGAGCCAAGGATGAAGACGATGCACATCTGAAATCTCTGGGAGCGTATCTCCCTGACACAGCTCCGCAAGGGGCTGGGCTAGTCACATCCGGTGATTGAACCGGAGTTTTCCATTTATCCACAGAATGAGTTCTGTACTTCCGGCGGCAGTGCAGGCCTGCCCACAGTACCCTGCCAGCGTAGTTACACCCTGACCTGGAGGGACCAGCTAAGGGTGAGAATGTGATTCACTCTCCATGCTCATCCCATGTGTGTTTGATTAGCTGAGACTGGCCATGCATGCTGTGGAGTGTCCTGAGGTTTAAGGATCTAATTGGGGGAAATCTCTATGCTTGGAGGCCAACCCATGCTGACAGAAAAACCCATCCACCCCATGCTCTGTACCTCAACCTATGGTAATGTGAATCTGGAAAGAGAAACCACTAGAGACATTTGGGCCCAAATTCATGTCAAGAGGCAACCCATCAAATCCAACAGTCTATTAAAATCCAAGACACAGAAAGATAAGCTAGTAAATAAATGCTTTAGATTAATCCTCATTTTAGTGAATCACTGGTCAAAGTAAACCTGTTCTGTAAATAAATGTATAAGTACCCTAATACCAATACTTAGGGCTCCTACTCAAAACTATCTTCTTAGATTTGGATTCTGCTACAAGCAAATCAAAGAGAAGATGTTTGTGTTTGATTGTCTTATATTGTCAGCCATGCCTAAGGAGAGTGTGATTTCTGTGATTTGGAAATTCTTTGACATGGGTACTTACAAATTTGACTGCCACCTTCTAGCCTTTGTTGAGAAAATAAATGATACATAGGAAAATATTTTAAATTAATAAGGCCATTAATGTTAGGTACAAAATATAGCCTTTTACCACTGAGTTGCAATATCAAATACCATTGAGCAAATACATTTTACAAGGGTCCCAATCCCTACTATCTCTTCTGCTAGAAAGAGAAAACAAGTGATTAGCTCCTTGTTCTCTTGTCCATTTCTAGACTGAGATCCAGAACAAGGACAGTTGTTTTTTTTAAAAAAAAAAACACATGATGAACTCCATCCATGTTTACTCTTGTTATGTGCCACAGGGCTAGTCATGTATTTCTCAAGCTGCTTGCCTCATGTATACACAGTGTGTATTCACTGCCATAGTGAGGTATAAGTGGTGATCTCATCTTTCATTGAATGGCTCTATGTCTCTTGCTGTGACCCCAGCATCACAAGGGGATTCATGGCCTGTGTCTACTATGAAGCAACTCATTCCCCTCTATTGTGAAGGATTCACTCCAGCTTCCTCCCTGAGTTTCTTCTCTGACTACGGCTCCAACTGTGGTTTCACACTTCAGAGACTCAACCAAAAGAGCAGGGAAAGTCAGGGTGGATTCCCATGCCTTTTCCCTCAGCTCAGCAAGTACTCCCCCCACAACAGAGTATCCTGCATCCTGACTGAGGCCCCAGCCACTCCAAGATTAGGGCCATCCTGTTCACTTCAGGTCCAGCAAACACCACAGCTTGAGCCACTATCTATCCTATCTGTCCTGATTTGGCTCTTAGCAGACCCTTATCCCACTGTTGTATCTATGGACTGAGAGGAATGGAAGGTGTCTGGACATGCTCATCTATGGGCATCCTCTATTGTACTTCTTTAAACACAATCTACTGTTCCTCCCCTAGGGTTCTCCTTTCAGTAGGCAGAGCTGGCCAGGCACTGGTGGCTCACACCTGTAAACCTAGTTACTCAGGAGGCTGAGATCTAAGGATCATAGTTCAAAGCCAGCCCAGGCAGGAAAGTCCATGAGACTCTTATCTCCAGATAACCACTAGAAAACCAGAAGTGGTGCTGTGGCTCAAGTGGTAGAGTACTTGCCTTGAGCTGAAGAGCTCAGGGACAGTGTCCAGGCCCAGAGTGCAAGCCTTATGACTGACAACAACAACAACAAAAAAGCACAGCTGGCCTCCTGGGCTGCCACATGACATTCAGAAGGGGCTCGTATTTGTTTGAATGGTCTGCTATTGCTCTCTTGAAATTCCTCATTTGTTTTAGCATGGTGTCCCACGTGCTCCTTTTGCACTGGGCTCTGCCAATAATGTAGCCAGTTCTGCCAATAGGTGCAGAATGGAGCTTGAGAATACATTTCCACCAAGTTCCCAAGTGAGGTGCCACCACGGTGAGTACACTTTCTCCTTTCATAACCACTACACGAAATTCTGTGAGGTCGACTCAGAGGAAAGAAGACGGGAGCAATGATCCCCTCCTTCTTTCATCTCTCCCACCATCTCTTTCCCATTCAACATGAGCTATGAAGATGGACGAAAAAGGGCTGTATCAACTTGAGTTCATTGTGTCATTATTCTTAACCATCCTTGTTTAACCAAACCAAACACTACACGGTAGACATACTACCATTCCTGCAACCCACTTATCCTCGTAACAATCAATGAAAGTATGGTTTCCCTGTACAAACACTGTTTTCTGAAGCAACTTGAAAGAAATTGGTGAAGTAGAACAACCTCCTATGAATGTGAGAGTGGGAATGTGGAGGGGAAAAGCCCTAAGTTGATGGTGATATACAAAACACACAGAAAGGGGCGCTGTGGCTCCAGTGGTAAAGTGCTTGCCTTAAGCTGAAGAGCTCAGGGACAGTGCCCAGGCCCAGAGCTCAAGCCCCACCACTGACAAAACACACACACACACACACACACACACACACACACACACACACACGCTTCCACACAACAGCTCATATGGGCTTCATTTCCTTGAAGCTGTCATTGCAGATAGAAAGACATTAATTATTGCATGACTCATGAGTCCATAGGGAGAAAATAACTCACTTCCTCAGTAGTAATCCACATGTCCCTAGTAAGAAGATGTAAAAGAAAAGTCATTCCATGGAGTTAGCTTTGCCCACACAATTCCTAACAATCTGTACCTTACAACATTTTTTAAATGTCTTCTTCAATATATTTGATAAGATGCACAAGACACAAGACATGAGGATTATTGTGGAGTTTGTGAGCTAAAATATGACCTTTCCAACCTTTTCTCCCAATAGAAAGGCAAAAACAACATCATCAAAGCAGCATTCTTAGCCTGATAGTTGTTTTGTTTTGGATTACAAATTGACTCACATCTCTAAAATATCCGTACAAGAAGGCTCTACTTGCTGTCACTGATGTAAAATTATGACTTATTTTTACTAAGTAGGCATAAAATGTTTTCATGAATAGCTCAAAAATATCAACTGAGCAGGAAAAACAAAAGCAATTACTTCTATAATACAGTTGCTAGCCAACTGGTCAGATTCTGAGCCGACCTCTGTTAGTTTAACACATCCAATTTTTCCCATTTTCATAATAAACTGTCCTCAATTACAGTCCTACTGACAACTTACAAGTGCCCACTGTTTTGTTTTGTGTTCCCTTAGCTAGAACTAGGGCATTTGTTTCCCTTTAATTAAATACGGTGGTTAAATAGTGCCCCCCCCCCTCCAACTTTCCAGCAGATATAGTTAAGTTCCTTTATTTTTCTTCACATTCACTGGCGGTCTAAAGGTCTGGAAAATCATCCTCATGGCTGTCCTCTGGCTCCTGCCCATAAGATTGCCTGATATCCATTTAAAGAAGAGGCAAGGAAAGGACTTATTTACTCTGTGTGGGTAGGAAATGTCCACACAAGTGCTGGCTGCCTCCCTAGATGGCGGGCATGGTGTATCACAAAGGCTGGGTGGGGTGTGTTTCCTCTGGGTACTAACCCTTGCTGCCAACCCCACAGGGCACTAGGGCCCCTGTGAGCTAAGCATACTCCCTCCATTTTGCATGCACAAAACCATTTGGTTAGGAAACGGCTGCTCTTAAGACCCCAAGGATTTGTTTTGAAAAACAGAACCAAAGAAAAGCAAAGATGAATAAAGAGACGCAAACTAGGCCCAGGGAAGGGAGGGAGAGGGCAAGGTTCTGGAACTTCTAATCAACTTCTGATCATTTCCCTTTAAGATGTCAGGGCCACTGTTTTAAGGAAGGTAGAAAATAAAGCTGTTTCCAGGTAAGACTTTACCTGGTTCTTTTCATGTTTGAAGTTTTCATGTTCCTGCTCCACTTACATTTTCAGTTATTTCTGTTGCTGTAACAACTCACTCCCATGTATATAAGTGGATAGTATGCTAATTATGTCATGTATAAATTTGTGAAAGTGTTAGTGCCCTGTGGAATTGTGTTAAATGTCTACACTGATAGTCTGATACTTATTTTTGGCCCCCTTTTTATATATGAAGCAGTTATTCCCATGAGAAGTATCATCTTCATCTCAGGAAGCTTACGTATATTGAATCTTTTGAGAGACAAGAAAGGTTGTCCATAAAACCACCATAAACTTCAAGTATCAACTATAGTTTTATCTGAATTAATTTTGAACCGAGGAAGGTAGAGTTATCTACCAATTTTCTTTGCTCAATACATAGTGATTATAAGGCTTTCGTTTTCAAATGCAATCAGGCATTAATCCACGGGGCACTTCAGCTATGCACTGTGAATTCAGGGATCCATCTGCATTCATGTCTGTCTTTCATCCTGGCTGACATTTTCTGTTACATCGTTTTTTACTGCTCTCTGCTGGCCACACATTGGTGAATACAAGGACCCAACTGTTCATCTGCCTCTTTTTTCCTGGCTTGTTTCGTTCCATTTCTTAGGTTTTGCTGCCCTCTGCTGACCATATATTGACAAATACTATGCAGGGAGCGGTCTGTTTCATTTGTTGTGTTTTGCTGCCATCTACTGACAGTATGTGGAAGTTCTTTCACTTTATCAATGCCAAAGTACTGGAATGTAGATCAAAAGGTCTTTTTGGTTTAGCCCCCATGTCCATTTGTTCTCCTCCTGTTCGATCTGAGTAAATGGTCATTTACACACGTGTAATTTTCTCGTTGCGCCAGAAGCCCTGACATGCTGCCGTCGGAAGTTTCCTTTTCCCTGGGAGGGAGGCATTCATCTACAGATTCCAACAAAGCCTCCAGTGGAGACATCTCCCCTTATGACAACAACTCCCCAGTACTGTCTGAACGCTCCCTGCTGGCTATGCAAGAGGACAGGGCCCCGGGGGGCTCCGAGAAACTTTATAAAGTTCCAGAGCAGTACATGCTGGTGGGCCAGTTGCCGTCGCCAAAGTCAAAGTCAAGAGAAAGTTCTCCTGGACCAAGGCTTGTAAAAGGTAATGAGTCCAGTTGCCACTGGCTAAACTAAATGCCTCTGCCCTTGTTGCAGGTAGTACCCGGTGAGGGCACTTTGGACTTTTCTGTGATGCAATGAGCACTTACTGAGTACCTGCTAAACACATGCTAGGAAGAGGAAGGGCTAGGAATCCCAGGCATTGTCTTGGAGGGTTCCTGAAGCCCATACTTTGACCTTCAAATTTATGGGAAGTAACTGATGCTCAGAAGGGCCAATCATATTGCCAGCTGATAACTTTCCTCCAACAGCCAAAGCATTTTATGTGTCCTGGCTGGTGGTTCTGGGCTGCATCTTTGTGAACCTAAGATGCCACCTGATTGCTGCTGTCACATTTACAACAAAAGAAACTGAGGGCCTCCTCACAAAACAAACGTGCCAGAACCAAATAGTGTCAGTATCCAATGACAAGGATACCAAGGAGACCCAGAGTCCAAAATCTGCTCTGCCACTTCCAACTCAACCTGATCTCAAATGAGTGGCTGAGCACAGTGGAGGCCCATTTCCTCCTGCTTTTGGAGACTAATAATGACAAAAGTGTCTGACTCATTGGGCTTAATTAATCCACTAACCTCTTACCACAGCACTACACATGGACTAAACCCTGCCTGATGTGTGATGTGGAACCTCATGTTCACTTCTCACCTCTTCTGTCACATGACCTACTGAGGCTCTCCTAGGGACCATGTGACATAGCTATGAAGCATGGGAACAATGCCAATAGATCTTTGCTCCTCTCCTCATTGCTTCTCATAATTAGGATTCCAGCACAGGATAGTAAAGGAGAGGAACTAGGCTGGTAGTCACACTGTCACTACTCCTGCCCAGACTGCTGGAAAGAATCTGTTGATATCAATAGTAGAGTGTCTCCTAGGAGAGTTCAGAAACTGTTCTCGTTGCTCCTCCATCTCTCTGTTCATGTGGTTACAGCTCATAAGGCAGTTGCCACTCAGATCCACTATATACCTTTCCTACTACTGCTGTCTCACATTATCCAAACAGTGGCTTGAAACAACTCACGTTATTTGCTGCCTAAGGGCTTCAGAGGTCATACATCAGATGTGTGAGCAGGGCTGCCTTCCCTCCTGGGAATTGTAGGGTCAATGTGTTCTACTGCCAGCATCTATACATTTCTGTGTTAAAGCAGTAACATAGGAGAATCTTCTGACTCCTTTAAAGAAACCTTGTGATTACATTGGGCCCAACCAAGTCACACAGGAAAATAATTCCATCTCAAGAATCACAATTCCACAACTTCCCCAAAGTCCTTTTTAAAAAAAATGTGACTTCTTAATAGGTTCTGGGGATCATGGCTCCAACCATATAGAGAAAGAATGTTTTGTATGTCTCCAGTAAACTTCCTGAAAAGCAAATGTGGACTGTGTTGTTTTGCATCCAACACAATGTTAAATACAGAACTCTGTATAGAAAACAGAGAAATATTTATTTTTACTTTAACATGTTTGTATTATATAACTTTTTATTCTTTTTCCTAGATATGTCAGAGGAGCCTTTCAATATCTGGGGAACATGGCATTCAACTTTAAAAAGTGGATCCAAAGACCCAGGAATGACAGGTGGAGTACTGTGTGTGTGTGAGTGTGCTAGGACTTGAACTCAGGACTTGGCACTTTACCATTTGAGCTACAGCTCCACTTCCAGCTTTTTGGGGGTTAATTGGAGATAGTCTCACAGACTTTCCTACTTGGGGTGGCTACAATCTAGGATCCTCAGATCTCAGCCTCCTGAGTAACTACGACTTATAGGTGTGAGCCACCAGGCCAGGTTGTAGAAACAGGGCTGTGGGAAGAAAGCAACAGGATGGACAATTCCATGAACTAATTCCCACCCTTGCCTCTCTCTGGCTCCCAGGTTCCTATAGTGACATCTTTGAAAGCAGCTCCCTGCGACAGAGGCCTTGTTCCCTTTCCCAAGGGAACCTATCCCAGCATTGGCCTCGATGTCAAGGGAGCTCCGCAGGGCTGGACAGCAGCACTCAGGTCCTTCGGAGGACTCAGACGGCGGCCACCATGGTGCAAGGCCGTGTCCACCATCCCACATCGCGAGTCTACAGCACTCCCCCCATCCAGGGTGGGGGTGGGGCGGCCAGGCGGCCAGTGGCCAGATCTGAGCCACACTTGACCCTAAGCAGTGCTGAAGACCTCACAGAGGGCAAGCTGGACAGGGCCGGGCCGCAGAGCCGGGCCCAGCCTTCGCACCAGAGACCACGGGAGAGTGGCAGGGATGACAGGAGGCCCCCTCCTCCATACCCTGGACAGGGCAAGCTCTCCCGAGGATTGGCCCAGCCATCCAATGAGCCTCCCTTGTGGAAGCTGCAGAGGCCCAAAGGCGGCTCAGGAACAGCCTCGGAGGGGAGAGGCCAGCGGGCATCCCAGGAGCCTAAGGCCCCACTGAAAAAACTGGGAAGCGCCTACTCCCCCCACCCAAGCAGCGAGCACAACCGTCCGCACTTGGGGGACGCCAATTGGCTCGACTGGCAGCGAGAGCGGTGGCAGATCTGGGAGCTGCTGTCCACTGACAACCCAGACGCCCTCCCGGAAACGCTGGTATGAGCCCACCCGCCAGCAGCTGGAGCCCACCCTGCCCACCACACACTTCCTTCTCGCCCAGATGCCAACACGTGGCCGATGGAGATTGGACATTTCCTTATTTTTTTTCCTTCTTTTCACATTTTTTTAAAACAACAAAAAAAGTAACACCAAGAGAAAGTAGATCCACTGACAGATGTTGAGCACTCCTACCCTCGCCACCTTATGATACAATTCTATTGCGTAGCCAGCCTTAGAAAAGGACAAAACCAGACAACCATATCCAACCTAAAAATTACCCACATTGGCTCTCTATAAAATTCTTACTTTCATATAGCTTTGTTGTATTTATGTGTCTTCAGTTTTGACTATTGTATATTCTGTAACAGATTATGTATGATCTATTCACAGAGAAGACAAAAAGAACCATTTTGAAAATCACTTCACTTTCTATTACACCATGAGATATAATACACAGCGAGATTCTACAGTGTTCTAGAATACCTACAAGTGGCTTTCTGTGCTTTTGCCATAGCTTTTTAACTGGGGTGACAGCCCTTCCTTCAATACCTAAGGAAAACACCAACCAACCAAACCAAACCAAGAAGCCATAGTTTTCTAGCACAGTGAAATTAAAAAGAATTATAATCTCTGAATGTGTTTTTCATATGGAGAAAGTTTAGGGAAAACATTAAATTTGGTATATTATGAAATATATTTTCAGAACCCCTTTAGAAAAGATTCAGTTATTCAGATGAAAGTCCATGCCCACCAAAGAAGTTATCTATTCCAACTTAAGTTAAATTCAATTTTATGTAGGCCATAAATAGTTATGACGTACGAGTTTTTGTGTTGTTCAAAACTACAAACTGGAATCCAACTATAAAATGTTAGACTCTAAATACACATTAAAATTATAGAACATTGCTTTTCTCTTTGCCTTGTAATCAGTATTGGTCAGTTATATGCAATTCTTTGTAAATTAAATCGTATTTGAGAGAAAAAAAAAAAAACCACTCTAGCTTTGTACTTACATTGTGCTAAAGGCAGAGAAAACATTTCCTTCAGTAATTTTATGTGTATTGTAAAGTGTTCGTACTGTACTCAGTAATTTGATGTTTTATTCAACTCCAAAAAAACATTTTTGGTCAACAGGTGGCAAATTGGCAAATTGCTTCAGTGTTTTCAGAGTTTTGTTTTTCCACTTCAGAAGGGAATGTGTATTATTGAAAATTATAGAAAATGATTTTTTTATAAAATGCGCTACTTAAATTTCATGTTAGCAATGAAAAATTTCAGTGGTGTTTTCTTTAAAGTTCTGTCTTGTGCCTGATGAATAAAAGTTAAGCAAAAGCTTTGTTCTGGGCTTTAAATCAAATGAATGCTCTTACACCCCATTCCAGATAGGTACTTCATTATCCACATGTGTACCCAATAATGTCAATTCTATACATATCCATATATGGTTCAATAACTAGTTTTTAAAATGTCTCATGCTTGGGGGACACCAACTTGGTAACACTAAAGCATGTGGAAGTTCGTTGCAAGTAAAGGTTGATTTCCTCAACTGTCATGGAGAAAATGATTTTTCCACTTAACTAAAACTTACATTTCCCACCTATTGTCCCTCAATGCAGTCTTTTTAAATTGCATCTGTTCTACAAGCCTTAGAGGCCCAATTTGCTTCAAGACCACAATAAGGATCTCTAGAAATGGCCTGTAATGAGTCATGTTCAAGGACTGATTTATATGATCATCAGGCTCTGCCATCACGCACAGAACTACTGCTAAGCTCAGACTGCAAGGACATTCTGGCTGATCTTGTTTGTTTCCTGGCTTCCCAGATCCAACCAAAAGTTACAGCAAATACCACTTGATAGTGGATTGTAGGTGCCACCCACTCTCATCCTGCTCCTGTGCTTTCTTGCTTTGAATTGGACCCTAGGCTGACTAGTTCTTGCCCTTCCTCAAAAACTGGCATACCTAACACATGAGGCCCCCTTCTCATCATATTTATGCTGTCATAGTTCTTTCAGCTCTAATGACATTAGTATCTGTCAAAGAAGTTAATGAAAGGTCTTTCAGATCTAATGACATTAGTATCTGTCAAAGAAGTTAATGAAAGGTATCTCCGTCTGCTAATAGTCAGATCTAAAATAAGCAGTAAACAGTTTAGAAATATAGATCTCAATATCCATTCCCCTTTCTCTTTGTCTCTTTAAGCCCATGACTTTATTTTTAGCTTGATAAATGAAAGCTTGTTTCTTCAATGTCTTTAATCATATTAAACATACTGTTTTTTCACGATACTTCTTTTAGTTAATACATGTTTTTTTTAATCACTGTTACTCTTTTAAATTTATTGTTATTGCAAAGGTGATGTACAGAGGGTTATATGCTGTTTTTAAAGCACACACGAGATTCAAAGACTTAAGTAGTAACTGAAGTCATTGATAATACCCTATAACATGTGGTATAGTATTTGACAAGAAAAAAAATAAGTGTCTTTCAAGTTGGACAAAAATCCTTCACCATGCTGCTCAACTTATTTATCCCTAGAGAGCAAAGAGATCATAGCCAGGCACCAGTGACTCATGCCTATGATCCTAGCTACTCAAGAGTCTGAGATCTGAGCATCATTGGGTAGGTCAAAGCCAACCTAGGCAGGAAGTCCAAGAGTCTGTTATCTCCAATTAACCACCAAAAATCTGGAATAGCATGTGGCTCAAGTGGCAGCCTTAAGTGAAAAAGCTAAGGGACAGTACTCAGGCCTTGAGTTCAAGCCCCAGTACCAGCATAAGAAACAGGGAGGGGGAGTAGTAGGGGGATCATAGAAGCACAAAGAAAGCTACAATGTGCACAGATATCTCAATGTCTGTGAATACTCAATTATTGTTTTTGAGTCTTTAGTAAAGGGGCCAGAATGGTGATGGCAGAAATAGCCAAATATACATTTGTCTTGATCTAAGTACTTATTAACATGTTTGTTGTGGATTTTTATAGAGGAAAAAAACCTTATAGCGATGGGGTATGTGTAAAATGAAAAAAAAAAAAACTTCTAAATAAGCCCAGCTTGCTGCTCAGCTTGCTTATTTTCTTATGCACATTTTAATACACATCTGCTGGGCAGAGAAACAGCACTGCGATTCCATATAGAGATGTCAGAACAAAGTCCAAGCCCACGGAGTCTGTTGGTCTGATAAGCAAACCACAGGAGGTAGATTCTACTGAACCCAGAGAAAAGGAGATGATTGAAGAAGAGTCCCACAGAGATTAAAACAGGCCCTCTTGGCCAGAGAACTTTCAAACACAACTAAGTCAACAAAATTCCTCCAAGAGAAAAAGTACAAAGCAAAAGAAAGTTCTGATAAAGGTTGGAATTTTTTGGCACAATCTAGATACAAATGGCAGCCTAGACATGCTGAACTACAAAGAGTGGCCTCTGGGTTGCAGCCTTGCCCCCAATCTGATGTAGCCCTCCATCCACTAAGATGCAGAAGGGTCAAAAGATTCTCTAAATTCAATCCAACCATTATCTCTTTAGGCTAAGGTGATCAACACATCTCGGTTTGCTTGGAAATGTCCCTAGTAAGAAAATTCCCATACAGCCCAAGCAAAGGCCCCGCTATTACTGCCAGGGCATGCACAGGTAGACTAAAAACACAGGACACGACCTTAGCAGCTCTCAGGTAGAAAAGTCACCAAACATGATACAGTGCAGCCAGTTCAATTTGAATGTTAGACACATGATAGAGTGTTAACATTACTGTGTCCCATATAAAATCTGGGACATACTTATACTCAAAACTATGATTCATAAGCCAGGTGCTGGGTGGCTCACACCTGTAATCCTGGCTACAAAAGAGGCCAAGATCTGAGGATCACAGTTCAAAGCTAGCCCAGGCAAGAAAATCTGTGAGACTCTTATTTCCAATTAACTACCAAAAAGGCCAGAAGTAGAGCTATTCCTCAAGTGGTAGAGCACTAGCTTTGTGCACAAAACCTCAGGGACACTGCCCATACCCTGAGTTCAAAGCCCAGGACCGACACCAAAAAATATGTGTGCATATATATGTATATATATGATTTATTCTCTGAACAACTGTATGAGACATATTTATCTTCAACAGACATTCTTTGCTAGACAATTGAAATTGAACTGAGCACCTGTTTACTAAATCTGGCAAACCTAATCTCCACCCTTAATATCTTAACCAGTTCCTAATGATCTGCTTGATATTCTGGTGCCACGACAGCACCTGTATGTTTCTATTGCTACATTGAGCCATGTTCCCACCAGCCACCACTCTCCTCTCTGGCCAGAGTGCTTCTTCCTGTTTTGCAACATGGATGCTAATCTTGCTGTCCTTCTGGTGTGCATATCTATATCTTCTCTTGGTCCATCCCCAATGCCTCACTCTTTTCTGCTTTTAGATAACTTAGTATCCTGGCTATTCTTCCCTTCCACAGGACCACTGTGTATATATAGAACACAATTTCACATTTTCAGCCTAAGGTCCACAAATACTCTCCTCTGCTTTTCCTACTCAGTCAGACACTATTTTCCTTGCAAAATTAGCTCAAATCATCCCATCCCCCACATGAATAACATAGTTGTGTTATTTTTGCTGCCTTATGGTTTTATCTAGAGGTTGTTCCTGCTCTGCCTCTAAGGGTGGGGACTATCATTTTCTTTGTTCCCTGTGGACAGGACAAAGAACTGACATCTGTCATTTGGCTAAATAAAGGTATTTAAATATGATCAAGTATCTTACTGTGAACTGGAGGCATGGCTGAAGTAGTAGAGAGCCAGATGTGATTGAAACAGTAGCTTACTATCTATTATTCAGTGGAGAAAAACATGTAAGGCCATCAAACTTCTAGAAAACACAGAGATGTGGATCTATTTTCTTAATTAAAAAATGGAAGGTAAGAGTCTGAGGAAAAGCTAGTAGCAAGCACAGAGACACACAGCCCCCTAGTCCTGTGTCATATGAGAATGAAAACGTGAGTGATTCATGACACCTTGCCTTTTCATTCTTATGACTGAAATATTAACAGTAAAACAGGTAAGGAATGTATATTTCTGTGCTCTCTGGTTAGTTTTCAATGAACACTCAGGCACTGAATAAAAATCAGTATTTCAAGGGTGGGCCCCAGAATTGGGGAGAACAGGGCTTGACTACTGCTCTGCCTTCCAATTGCTGCTGGTGATCTTGGGCAATTAAGCTTTTGCACCTTTCTTTTTTTTAGAGTAGTTAGGCAATAATACACCAAACTCCTGGGATTGTTCTGAGAATAATGTAAGAAAATACCTAGACTAGAACCAGCCATGTAGCAAATAGTCAATATTGGCAGTGTAACTGATAAACCTTGTGAGACCATTTTAGAAACAAAAATGGGAAATCTCTGCTCATGGAATGCAAGTAGTATTTGCTAACATTTATGAATGACTTCTACCCTAGTTTGTTTTTCATACATTAACTTATCTAACCTCCTAATTTTCCGACAGGGCATGATTAACTCAGAGGGACTTCAAATGAATTGTCCAAGGTCAAATAGCTAGAAAGTGGTGGAACCAGGATTTAGTCACAAGATACCAAACTGTGCCACTTGCTGTTTGGATAATATTTAGGCCTGAAATTGTGGTTATTTATTGGAGTCTTAAAAGAATAAGGCTCAAGCCAGAACACAATGACTCAAGATTGCAATGCAAGCCACTTGTGAGGCATAAAGATTTCAGTTTGGGGCCAGCCTGGGCACAAAGTTCACCTCAAGACCTCATTTCAACCAATAAAAAACAGATGGAGCCGGGCGCCGGTGGCTCACGCCTATAATCCTAGCTGATACTCAGGAGGCTGAGAGCTGAGGATCACAGTTCAAAGCCAGCCCGGGCAAGAAAGTTGGTGAGACTCTTATCTCTGATAAACCACTAGAAAACCGGAAGTGGCACTGAGGCTCAAGCGGTAGAGTGCTCGCCTTGAGCTGAAGAGCACAGGGACAGCGCCCAAGCCCAGAGTTCAAGCCCCACGACCGACAAAAAAAAACAAAAACAAAAACAGATGGGTGCAGTAGCCAGTAGCATGCACCTGTCATCCCAGCTATGCAGGAAGCATAAATAGGAGGATCAAGGTCAAGGCCAGCCTGGGAAAGAATTCTAGACACCATTCAAAAATAAAACACAAAATGGCCCAGGTGTGGCTCAAGTCGTAGAATGCCTTCCTGACAAGCATGTGGCCCTAAACTCAAATCTCAGTACCACCATCAAAAAAAGTAATGCTCAGCAAGATAGTCTCTGAGGAGAAGAGTGGGGAGAGTTCCTACCTCTGATTGGCAACATCACTGTAGTATCTTAAGG